CGGCTCCTCACTTGAGTTAATAGTAGTGTACAAACTTTTCTATTACATTTTACTCAATATAACTATTAGTGTACATGCCTTAGTGCCCACAACATCAAATTAACAAAATTTCATATTCATAATGAAAATAGCTCATATAACACATTCAATCATGCTTTTTACCCCAAAACGTAATAAATACTTTGAAAGAAGGGTTGTGAATACTCACACTTTTTCAAAGCTTCGCTAAACAAAAACATGATCTGATCCCCACACGTTGGCTTAACGTTTCCCTATCAAAGAGAAATATCCAAAATCGTCACTTATGGGTTAAAAACTACTTATGGGGATTAATAAGTCATAAGTCTATAATTGTCTACATATGTCCAACTTGATTATCTATAGTCCAATTATACATAATTCACATATGCTCGTTAATATAGTAATTTATACCGGAAGTAATGTTATAATCCATTAAATGATCAATTTTTATAAAATCAAAGAATTCCAGAATTTCACTTTTGGACAGAAACTAATAGTACTAAAAATGATCAATTTATAGAGACTTCTAAAATGACACAGTTTCCTATCTTTTTATATGGGATATAGTCCTGAGTTATGGTCATTGTGACCAAATTTCATGCATTTTGGACATGTAACAATGGTTCAAATAATTTATGCAATACAATATGTCACAATTGGTATGACAGATTACACCATGTTAGTAAAATACTCATTTGAAGAGTTATACCAAGTGTTTTGCATAAATTCCAGTTGGATTATAAACTCAACACCTAAATGAAACTTTTAAGATAAGAATCACTCATTTTGGATGAGTTAAGAGGAAGATATGGCACCATAAAGTTACCTCCACACATATGTCATTAGTTGACAGATTGCACACTTAACTTTCATAAATTGGTTAATGCCTCAAAACTTCATATTTTTGAGTGAAACTGGGTTCATATGAACCCTAACTCAAAAAAGAATATTTCAGAAGAAGAATCATATACTAAGAGCAAGTAATAAAAGAGATATTAACACACAATGTAAGATCTACCTACTGATGGTTTCACAGTTTGCACACCTAAAGTGTTTTTGGTGTTTAGAGGTCAAAACTCCATATTTTCATGTGATTCCACTTACATGTAGAAGATAACTCATATAGTTAACTCTAAAAGGAAGAATCATCCTTTTTCATCGAGCTTTGAAAGAGATATGGTCATTAGAACATGCATATACAAATCTATCAGTTTTGGATTGATTGCATACTCATTTTGTTTTAATTAGTTGAAACCTCAAATTACCATATTTTTTAATCAAATAAGTGGTATTTGAAAGGTAACTCATTAAATTAACTTCTAGAAAAAAAAATCAATGATTTGGATAATTATTTAGAGAGTTAGGGTTGTTTAAATTAGTGTTTACCTAGTGAAAAACTCCTAGATGCACATGCATCTTGTTTTGAGTATTTGAGGAGTCAAAACTCAATGTTTTTGAGTGAGACCAATTGGATTACAACCCCAACTCAATAAATGAACTTTTAGGAGAAGATTCATGACATTTGAACATATTATTTGCAAGAAATGGACGATTTATGCACATGCATTCAATCTGTCAGCACTTAAAATATGATTTTTTTTAGGAATCAAACCCACATGCAACATGATTTTACCTATTTTCTTGAGTTCTAATGTTTGGGTCATAGATTACCACCATATATGAACATTTTTACATGTTTTTGGTGTGTAATCTCTCCTTAAAACTTAGAAATTTTCGGAGATTAGAAGAAGGTAGTTTAAAATGCAAGAAAAGTGGGGTTTTCTCCCAAAGTTTGCAAGAAAATGGTGGAGATGAAGTTGTTACATTGACTGATGATGAGAAGGATGTACTATCTTCAAAATCTTTCTATTTTGATGGAAGAATATGAAGAACTTGGCTGAATATGAAGGATGGAGAAGGTGATCCTTGAACTTCTTTAGTTTAGAGAGAGAAAGGGAGTTTCATAATTTGGAAGGTGAAAATGAGTTGTAAATGGAAAAATAAAGATATTTATATGTGGGTTTTAGAAGGAAGGGGGGGGGGGKGGCCGGCCATGGGGGGGCCCAAGCCCAAAATATATATATATTTTTTATTAATTTTAAGCCCCAAAATTGTTAAAATGTCATTTTTCTCAATTTTGACATTTTTCTTCAAATTATAAACCCATGTTGGTTAAATTCATTTAAATAAAATGTTTTATACTTAAAACACTAAAACTTTGTGTTTTATATAAATTGGGTGTAAATTGGAGCATTTGGCACTATATAGGACGTTTCAGATAGTTACGGGTCGGAACCGGACTTTCTAAGCAACTACCGGAAACTCTAGAAATTTTTTTTTGGCCAATCTAATCTAACTAACTCCTAATCTTATAAATTATTTTTAATAACACTAATATAAACTTAATAAGAGCTAACCTTGAAGCTCAAATTTGACAGTTGTCACAGTCTCCCCTTGTTAGAGAAATTTCTTCCCGAAATTTAATGACTGCTACTGCCAATGGAATTCTCTGCAAACAAATGCGGATATTTGCCTTTCATGAAATCTTCTCGTTCCCAAGTGTACTCTAGGCCATGTTTCGCATTCCAGCGGACCTTAGTAATAGGGATTTTTACTGCGCCTCAACCATTTAACTTCTCGGTCCAGTATCTCGATTGGTTCTTCGATGAAGTGTAACCGATCGTTAATCTGAACGTCGTCCAGGGGTAACACTATTGTTTCATCCGTTAGGCATTTCTTCAGATTCGACACATGGAACGTGTCGTGGATGGCGCTTAGATTTTGTGGTAACTTCAACTTTTACGTCACTGGTCCAATTCTTTCGAGTATTTCGAATGGACCAATGTATCTGGGACCCAGCTTGCCTCTCTTCCTGAAACGTACTAGTCCCTTCCATGGCGATACCTTTAAAAGTACTTTATCCCCCACTTGGAATTCTAACGGCTTTCTTCGATTATCCGTATAACTCTTTTGACGGTCTCTTGCTATCTTGAGTCTGTTCTTGATGATTGAAATCTTGTCGGTGGTTTCCTGAATAATATCGGGCATTGTCAATTGTCTATATCCGATCTCTACCCAGCTAAGCGGCGATCTGCATTTACGTCTGTATAGAGCTTTGTACGGTGCACATTGTATGCTGGTGTGATAGCTGTTGTTATAAGAGAATTCAACAAGGGGCAGATGGGTATYCCAACTCCCACCAAAATCTATTGCGCATGCACGCAACATATCCTCTAGCGTTTGAATAGTTCTTTCCAATTGTCCATCTGTTTGAGGATGATAGGCGGTGCTATAATCCAAGCGCGTACCCAATGCCTTTTGAAGAGACTGCCAAAATCATGATGTAAAACGTGTATCTCTATCCGAAATAATGGAAATAGGCACACCATGACGTATAACTATTTCATTGATGTAGATTTGTGCACGTCTTTCCATGCTGAAATCTTCGCGAATTGGAATGAAATGAGCTGATTTGGTAAGTCGGTCTACTATAACCCATATAGTATCGTGCCCCTTTCCGGTTCTGGGTAGCTTAGTTACGAAATCCATGGTTATTTGCTCCCATTTCCATTGTGGTATTTCATGTTGCTGGAGTAGACCAGATGGTTTCTGATGTTCAACCTTTACCTTGGCACAAGTCAGGCACTTGCTTACGAACAAGGCAATATCTTTTTGGCATAATGACCTCCTTTGTTGCATTTTTTACAGATAATACATCGTCCGGCATGCTGTTTATTGCACTTCTCACACCTTTGATAAGTTATTTTCTCCTTCTCTGCTGATTGAGTCTGAATCCCGTAGTTTCCTGATATTTTTAGAGCCTTTCCCATTTTTCCCCCAGACTGCCTTCGTGTAGGTTCCTCCATCTTTCTCTTCCCTGAAGCCCTATCTTTTGCAAACATTCTCGAACGAGTAGCATTGTTGGTGACTTTGGTTGCCGAACTTACTGCTTCTTGTAGGGTTTTTGGGTTTGCCGAAGTAACATCCCCGTGTATCACCGGAGATAATCCCCAAATATATCTATCAACTCGATTCTCTTCAGGCGTCACTAAATGCGGTACCATTTTTGCCAACTCATGAAAACGTGCAGTATAAGAGTCTTATCATTTCCTCTCATTTCATGATTCCATAATTCTGCTTCCAGTTTCAGGATCTCGCTTCTTGGACAATACTCTTCTTTCATTATCCTTTTAGAATCTTCCCACGTAAGACCGTTGGCGGCTTCTTGGCCCCGAGTTTGTACTTGGGTATTCCACCAAGTTAATGCTCGTCCTTGTAATAGACAAGCAGCAAACTCTACTTTCTTCCCTTCGGTACATTCGCTAATATGGAGCACAGACTCCATGCTCTCTAACCAAGTCAGTAATCCCACGGCTCCCTCAGTCCCGTGAAATTCCTTTGGATTACAACTCCTAAAGGATTTGTACGTRCATTCTCTATTTCCCGATCCTTGATTGTTGTTTTGATTATTATTCAGGCCAGCTGCCACTTGGCTAACAATGTTTGGAAGTACAGCCATGAGTTGCTCGGATACAAGTCGTGCAACTTCGAAATCATCCTTTCTCGGAGGCATTGTCCTAAAACACAATTTTGAATTGGGTTTTGGTCAACCTATGTTACTATGGCCATAATAAATCTACTTACTAAATCATACATATCTTATAACATACATCTAACATTATTCATGAAAACGTATATTCCAAAACAACATGCGATAAATAGATAGCATAAATTTCATAAATAGCCAAAGCAAACAAAACATGAGTTTTAAAATACAACCCAAAAGACATTAAATTGTTTAAATTTAAACATATAGGCTACAACCCCCAAAAGAAGGTATTATCCACCGAAAAGTTTCAAAATAACGGAAGTTCCCTAACGCATTAACACCCTAATCAATATCCCTATTATCATCACCGAAGCTCCTACCACCCAAAACAAGTACGCGTACAATCTCCGAATTGCCCTCCTAATCTCGAAAATGACCTCCATAATCCCCGTAGTAAGATCATCCTATGTGAGCAAGACTTTAAAATGTCGTCTAAGGACTGCTGGACGTGATCAAGTGTATGACGGTGGGACTATAACTGACTGCTGAAGCCTGAGACCCAAACGTTTTCCACTGCAGTCATGCCCCGAGGCTGTGGCACAGGAACTCCAATTGGTGGGGGAGGATGCTCCACGATCGAGACTGCGATCCGGCTGGCTCGCTCAGAGGCTCGGAGGGAACTGCGATAGTCACCCTCCTGGGAGGGAGAACACGCTTTAGGCGGTTCTCATGATCCTAAGTCCTCGTGACGGACCATCCACATCGACCGGAGGTGGCGTAGGCACAGATGATTCAACAGAAGTCTCTCGGGTGGCCGCGTCACTTTCCTCAGACGGGTCACTCTCCTTACGGACGGGTTGGTTTCTCCAAGCGAGGCTGGTAAAGTAACCGGATTCGTCAGGGGTGTGCTCAGGGAGTAAGGATGAGTGTGACATTTTTAAACTGTGACAGTAACAAATTTAATTACTAACTGTACTTAAGTAAATAATAATTCATAAAATGAAAATACTCATGCAACTCACAATTATGCATTTCCTTTGGGCAAGAAATTTTTTATTTTAGCCGACTTCCAATATAATTGTTCCTTGTCCCTCCTTAAACATATTAAATTAGATATAGGTGATCAGACTTTGCCTAATTATAATATGCTAAGTCAACACTTAGTCCAATTATACCAATAGTAAGCTTTTAAAAAAATTAAATTAGTTTAGAAAATATATATATATATTTTTAAATCATTTGGTTATAGTATTTGGTTTTAATAGAAAACCAGTGTTCTCTATAACCTATGGCTCTGATACCAAGTCTGTCACACCTGGCTAAAGTGGAAACACGAGGAGTGATAGTTCAAGATTTTACAGCGATAGGGCGAAAACATCACCAATTGTCCATTCAAATACATAACATATAAAGTCCGAAATTACAACATACAAGTTCAAAGTTTTTAAAAACATGGTGAAGCAAAGTTTTCAACAAAAGGATTTCAAATATAAATATGGTTGATGTCGTTGCGCCCTGAACATAAACATTATCAGTTAACCTTTCTTACCCCTAAAAAGTATAATAAAACAAGGTCAACTACAAAGAGCTGGTGAGTTCACAGGTTTTCGATATTACAAACCTCCTTTTTGTATAAGCGAATATGAGCAAATTAAATTTTTAATGGCACTTGATTTACTTTGAAAGAAAATTTTGGATTGTTCAAGGCAATTCGTACTCTAATTTTAAGTATATAAAGAGCCACCACTAAACCTTTCGACCCCATAAAATGGTTTTTTAATTCTACCTTAGCGGTGGGACTAATACCCCACATATGTAGAACCTTTATTTTTAAGTATAGTGCACCCTTACCTGTAGTTTCTAGGTGGGATTGCAATCCACACCCCTACTTATCGGTTTTTAGGTGGGATTGTCCGTCCAAATAGCGCTATCCACAAATACCCTCGGCTCCTCACTTGAGTTAATAGTAGTGTACAAACTTTTCTGTTACATTTTACTCAATATAACTATTAGTGTACATGCCTTAGTGCCCACAACATGAAATTAACAAAATTTCATATTCATAATGAAATTAGCTCATATAACACATTCAATCATGCTTTTCACCCCAAAACGTAATAAACACTTTGAAAGAGGGGCTATGAATACTCACACTTTTGCAAAGCTCTGCTAAACGAAAACACGATCCGATCCCCGCACGTTGGCTTAACGTTTCCCTATCAAAGAGAAATATCCAAAATCGTCACTTATGGGTTTAAAACTACTTTTGGGGATTAATAAAGCCTAAGTCTATAATTGTCTACATATGTCCAACTTGATTATCTATAGTCCAATTATACATAATGCACATATGCTCGTTAATATAGTAATTTATAGCGGAAGTAATGTTATAATCCATTAAATGATCAAGATTTATAAAATCAAATAATTCCAGAATTTCACTTTTGGACAGAAACTAATAGTACTAAAAAAGATCAATTATAGAGACTCCTAAAATGATATAGTTTCCTATCTTTTTATATGGGATATAGTACTGAGCTATGGTCATTGTGACCAAATTTCATGCATTTTGGACATGTAAAAATGGTTCAAATAATTTATGCAATACAATATGTCACAATTGGTATGACAGATTACACCATGTTAGTAAAATACTCATTTGAAGAGTTCTACTAAGTGTTTTGCAGAAATTCCAGTTGGATTAAAAACTCAACACCTAAATGAAACTTGTAAGATAAGAATCACCCATTTTTGGATGAGTTAAGAGGAAGATATGGCACCATAAAGTTACATCCACACATATGTCATTAGTTGACAGATTGCATACTTAACTTTAATAAATTTGTTAATGCCTCAAAACTTCATATTTTTTAGTGAAACTGGGTTCATATGAACTCTAACTCATAAAAGAATATTTCAGAAGAAGAATCATATACTAAGAGCAAGTAATAAAAGAGATATTAACACACAAATTAGGATCTACCTACTGATGGTTTCACAGTTTGCACACCTAAAGTATTTTAGGTGTTTGGAGGTGAAAACTCCATATTTTCATGTGATTCCACTTGCATGCAAAAGATAACGCATATAGTTAACTCTCAAAGGATGAATCATCCTTTTTCATCGAGTTTTGAAAGAGATATGTTCATTAGAACTTGCATATACAAATCTGTCAGTTTTGGACAGATTGTATACTCATTTTGTTTTGAGTAGTTGAAACCTCAAATCACCATATTTTTGAATGATATCAGTGACATTTGAAAGGTAACTCATTAAATTAACTTTTAGAAGAAAAAAATCAATGATTTGGATGATTATTTAGAGAGTTATGATTGTTTAAAGTAGGGTTTACATACTGAAAAACTCCCAGATGCACATGCATCTTGTTTTGAGTATTTGAGGAGTCAAAACTCAATGTTTTTGAGTGAGGCCAATTGGATTACAACCCCAACTCAATAAATGAACTTTTAGATGACGATTCATGACATTTTAACATATTATTTGCAAGAAATGGACAATTTATGCACATGCATTCAATCTGTCAGCACTTAAAATATCATTTTTTTAGGAATCAAACCCACATGCAACATGATTTTATCTATTTTCTTGAGTTCTAATGTTTGGGTCATAGATTACCACGATCATATGAACAGTTTTACATTTTTTTGGTGTGTAATCTCTCCTTAAAACTAAGAAATTTTCGGAGGTTAGAAGAAGGTAGTTTAAAATGCAAGAAAAGTGGGTTTTCCCCCAAAGTTTGCAAGAAAATGGTGGAGATGAAGTTGTTACCTTGATTGATGATGAGAAGGATGTACTATCTTCAAAATACATGCTATTTTGATGGAAGAATATTAAGAACTTGGCTGAATATGAAGGATGGAGAAGGTGATCCTTGAGCTTCTTGAGTTTAGAGAGAGAGAGGGAGTTTCATAACTTGGGAGGTGAAAATGAGTTGTAAATGGAAAAAAATGTTGTTTATATGTGGGTTTTAAAAGGAAAGGGTGGGGGGGTGGCCGGCCATGGGGGGAGGGCCCAAGCCCAAAAAATATATTTTTTTATTAAATTTAAGCCCCAAAATTGTTAAAATGTCATTTTTCTCAATTTTGACATTTTTCTTCAAATTATAAACCCATGTTGGTTAAATTCATTTCAATAAAAAGTTTTATATTTAAAACACTAAAACTTTGTGTTTTATATAAATTGGAGCATTTGGCACTATATAGGACGTTTCAGATAGTTACGGGTCGGAACTGGACTTTCTAAGCAACTACCGGAAACTCTAGAAATTTTTTTTTTGTCCATTCTAATCTAACTAACTCCTAATCTTATAAATTATCTTYAATAACACTAATATAAACTTAATAAGAGCTAACCTGGAAGCACAAATTTGACAGTTGTCACAGAAT